CTCCCTGCCCCCCCCCCCCCCCCCCCCCCCCCCCCCCCCCCCCCCCCCCCCCCCCCCCCCCCCCCCCCCCCCCCCCCCCCACCCCCCCCCCCCCCACCCCCGCCACTACCACCACTGCCTCCACCATACCATAACTTCGCTAATTCGCATCAACTTTATCCCACAATTGTCAGCACCACCTAAGAGAAAACTTGAGTCGATTATTATTATTATTATTATAAAGCCTTACCCCAGTCCCGGTTGCTTTGTGTTCGCCCTTAGTACGGTTTCGCAGCAAAAGGCTCCTCGGTGATAATGTACCGGAATAAGGAGCTACGCGCACACCAATTCTTCCTCCTACCTGATTGGTCCGGTGGTATCTACGCTTCGCCGACATTTGCGGGTTTGTCGTTTTATGCATTACCTGCCACTCTAGTCAAGCGATGTTTATGTTAACTCGTACCAACATACCATCTGTCAATTTCGGAGTTCCTAAATACCGAGCGGCTTTGTAAGACGGATTTTCAAAATGCTCCGCTTTAAGCCGGCGTTGAAGAGCAGGTTTCAACAATGTGTACACTCTTCACCTCTCTCTTAATTCCCCTTGCGGGGTTAGCCTCACTCCTTGAGGCGGCTATTCAACGGGCGAATTGGCAGGTCCGCTGAGGTTGTAGCAAATGTTTACCGAATTTGTTGTCGTTGTTGTTGCAGGAAGCCGCTCTGGATCCATTATCGCCGCGTGCTGGTCTTCCCTAATGTACTTCGGCCAAGAGGGCTACGTCAAGGCGACCAAGCGTATTGTGTCTACAGCTCGTTCAATCGCGGCAGGGTAAATATCAGGCCCTCATTCTTCCTTCCCTGGCGCAAGATATCCCTCCTCCACGCGCGTGGTTGCTTTGTAGAGTTGCGAATATCCGCGAGCTTCGGGTGTTGGGTGAACCGCTCGTCAGTGTGGTCGCCTTCACCTCCGACAACTTCGACATCTACCAACTGGCAGATCTCATGTCGCACAGACCCGACGGCTCGCCGAACTGGAGTCTAAGTGTTCTCCAGTACCCGCCAGCTCTGCACCTCTGCGTCACCGACGTCCACACCCAGCCGGGTGTTGCTGATCGATTTCTCGACGACTTGAGCAATGCCACCGAGAAGTTGCTCAATTCTCCCAACACCAAGTCGAATGGCATGGTTAGTTCCTTAGCGCGTCCAATCTAGTCTTAGCTCTTGTCATCACCTCACTGACACGACTTGTGATTGGTGCATTTTCGGTACAGAATTTTCAGCGAATTGCTTTCAATGTACAAAAAATAGAAAACAACGAACTTAATCTTGGAAATATTATCTATCGTTGTCTATGATATAACACCATCTTAGGTAGCGTACTAATGCTGTCACTAAGGAAGCTTGGAGGCTTCGAGGCAATATAGTCATCGACGAATTGACGCACATCGTCCAGGGTTTTAGGAACCGTTTGTCTAATAAGGCGTGCTGCTGCATTGACCGGATCAAGTAGTAGTTGGATTGGGCCAAGTCTGGTGAAAATGCCGCTTGTGGGAGCATTTTCCATCTCAAGTTCAAGAGGATTTTCTGAGTTGTGTGAGCAACGTCAGGTGGTCGAGCGTTGTCAAGCAGCAGCAGCAGTATGACTTGCCTGCTTCCTTGCCCAGTAAATGGCCTTTTCTGATCAAGTTCTTCCCTCATTTTGTGCAAATGTCGGCTGTAGCGTTACGCATTCACCGTCTGACCAGTTTCCAGGATTTCATAATCAAGCACATCCTTCATGTCCCACTAGATACATGGGAGAACCTGCTTCAAGTGGATGTCCGGTTTTGGTGTCGATGTACTGGGCTGCCCGTGGTCTACCCACGACCTTTTGTGTTTACGTTGCTGGCAGGCAAGCAGTGAAAGGCATGTGCTCATACTTTGACCTAGGTTATGTTCGGTCAACACATGTGGGGGACCCAACTTCCGAGTTTTTGAATTTTTACCATTTGGTGGTGCGAACTCTTGAAAATAGCTGTTTGGGTGACTCCTAGTTGAGCTGCATTGTTGCGTTTGCATTGAGTCTTCATCCAGCAGAGCCTTCAATTCCGCATCTTCAAACTTTTAAGGCTGTCCAATAACCACACTTTTCCTAAGACAACAGTGTCGGCAACAAGAACTCTACAAATTGATTCCCTTCGTGCTCTAGAAGCATGTTTTCCTTGCTTGAATTCGTATAAAATGCACTGCCATCGGATGTCCTGTGTGAGCTTTGCGGTTCTTAGAATGGACGTAACTCACGTAGATCCATTCAAAACCAAAAAAGACCGCGAATGTGCTTCTTTTTAAACATAATTTTAAGATCGAGGAAAAAATCTGCACAAATTAAGCCATGCACCTTATACACTCGCCCTATTCAATAAAAAAAACGAGTGTTTCCTGTCCTCAGGCCGAAAACGTGTTCACAATCCCTACATTCATCCATCGGTTGTACGCAGTCACTAACCGATTCTGCCTTTTTTCCAGGCTGCAGTCTATGGAATGTGCACACGAATCCCCGATCGCGATCTGGTCGCTTCCATGGTTGCGAGTTTCCTCGACGCCTACTACGCCACCGAGGTGCCTGCCGAGTAAATTTCCGCACCAATTTCAAAGTGCCACTAACTCCTTGCTCATTTACTTTCTTTTCTTGTTTTTAAATCCTAGTTTTCAGTTTAAACAAATATAAATGCAGGTGTTGGTATTTTTAGGGTTTTGTTTAGCGTGCCGTGTGTTTTTAGACGTGTGACCGGGATGTCTACGTCCACCCATGCGTTTGACGCTTTCCAGAACTTTGTGTCTAGTCTGTTCAACAATAGACTATGAAAATCTGTTAAATCCTCCACACAGACTTACTTGGATTGTACACTGTTCAATCAACGTGGCCCTTGTTAGCTACTATGCTAAGCATCATTACCCCATGTTCGTGTCCATTAATGCTATCTCCATTGAGTCATCGTAATGCTGGAATGGGAGGTAACGACAACAAGGTATGACCTTCTGGAAGGGTCTGGGGAGTTGGTATTTGAACAGGACCTAGAGCCGTACGATCTCAAGAGAGTATTCGGAAGTGGCATCTGTAGCATCGATGTGGCCCTGCCATGTGTGCACGAGGAGTTAACCAACTGGCTATTGTCCAGGGCAGCGGATCACGAATTGTTAAAAACTGCCCCTCAAATACGGCAACGAAACAAAAATATTGCAAATTATTAGACGTCGTAGACAAATCCTACTTGAAAAAATAGGTTCTCCAGAAGTAGCCGCATACCTCGAGTGAGCTAATGTGACTGCTAGTAGCAGGACCTGATCGTATTCACACAGTCTAACATCTAAAAACGTGCCAGGAGGTACTTTGGATTAACCGCAATCGATCATTTAAACAAAGTAATTGCCCAATGTCCTTGTTATCGTGTGTGTGATGTATTATGCAGGTATTTACCTTTCAAATGCACATGTTAAACAACCGGTGCAGTAGTGCTACCTTCGAGAAATGGCCAGGACACACTCGAAATAAGAACGAATCAGAGTGCTCCTAATTCTTAGAACGAAAACTAGGCGAGTATCCAGCCATAGCATTCGAGAAACGTTTTGTTCCACAACTGACAGATCACGCGTACGACATTGGAGATTCTATATTCTAGTCGAAAAGTTATAATTACGTTTCACAAGGTGTGTCTTTTTACCATTCTGCGAGAGCAAAAGATGTGTGGCTATCAGCGGGCAAAACTTCGATCGATAGTCTTGAGTAGGCTTCACGTCGCGATGTTCGTTAATCGATCGATACCAGGCGTTCCCATACAAACTGACGCTATCAGCAAACTTAAAAGTCACGCCTTCACTGTGGCAATAAATCGATCGGGCCCTGCGTTATCAACGGTCGTGTTTGGCTTTCCTGGACAGGTCTTGTCAACGTAGGCCGTCTACAGAGGCATGGAAACCCGTGATTCAGTCGACGCGAGCTTGCTACGTCTCACCTCAAGTGCCAATGATTACTTTAAAACTACCCTTTCGACCATTCAGAGTGCTAAAATCTGCAAGCACGTCAGGAATCCGATCCGCTGAAGCGGTGCATGAGAATTAAAGCAAGAGTCTACACGTTTTAATGAAAACGGAACGCTCGTATACTTACTTTTAAAAGCCAGAGACACACAGCTTCAGTGACCTGAGTTCGTGCTGGGGTCAATTAATTAGCTTGTAAGAGCGTGTTTAAAACAATCAAATACGTCTAGTGTTGTCTAGATTCGCTTATGAAATCTAAGTGGCTGCAGCGATTAGTTAATATTCACATCCATCATCGCTGTTGACGAATCGTCATATCACCCCTCTTCAAAAACCCATTCGTTCATTCAGTCTTCACCATTTCGCAAACACCAAGGTGCTTTTGGGGTCAAACAAGTAAAATGTTAAACAGAAAACCTAAACTCAGCAGCGAAGCATCGCAGGTTAGTTTTCACCGTTTAAGGGTATGCATCGAAAGACTACTTTGATGGCTTGGATTTGCGCTGAGTGTTTTAAAAACCATGGAACTGCAGCACTACAGGGTATGGAACGGAGACATCCAGTCGATAAAGGAAACAACCATCCTCAATCGATAATTTCCTTGATTGGAATGGTTATTACCCTCGAAACAGTCAAATGCATAAACCTTATAGCTAGCAGGAGGTCACCTGAATTGCCGATGCTCGATTTCACACCAATTTTATCAATTTCAGGCGTCAAATGATAGCGCCAACTGAAATCCACAGAAAATAAGTCAAGTAATTATTCAAAAAAGACACAATGGAGAACAAAGTTACAGTAGAAGGTGGACACTGTGATGCTAAGGTTAAACTCCAACGCATGTAACCACCGAGAGCAGATACGAAGCTGGCATAGCAGGGCACTCTTGAGTAACGTCAAACGCGTGTTCCTGCTTTGGACTCAGCACGAAAAAAATCCTCTCCAGTCACGCAAACCCAACTTCTTGGTGAAGAGCCCAGTCTGCAATCGGCTAATGAGAATTTCATCAGATAAGGTTCCTTTGAAAGGCTATATAAACATCACATACGAGGATCTGGTTTGGTGCCGTTGATGCATGCCAAATAGAAGCACGCGGAAGAATAGAAGACGAGAATCTACTCGTGCCCTTCGGGAAAAGGATATTGACAGAGTGCCGAATTCATTAAGCCTTAGCTCCGACCCCCACGGCAATGTGATCAATCAGCTTAACCTAGTCTTTCTGCAATCAAAAGTCACCGCGCAGCGACCCAGTCACAAATCCGACAACGACGCCCGAGTTGAGTACCGACGTGCCGCCAGACCTGCTTAGAGCCGGATCGGAGAGAGACTACATCCGAATAAGCAGCGGAATACTATAAAACCATTCTCCAACTTAAACTGCTACTGTTTCCGCACAATAAGAGCTGAAATGTGACTCCGTTCAGTCCTGAGATCAATGCTTGTAGCCATTTCCTCAAAGCGGTTCTGTCACAATCTGGAGCTAGTGGTAATGAATGCGTCATTGCTAACGTCGGCCGCGTGTTGACTTTACGTCTAACGAAAGCATGGTAGAATCAGGAAAGAGTTATTGGTCCTTGCATTCGTTTGTAAGGAATATTACCGTACTCTCAAGAGCAAACTATTGATCGCTTATTCAAATAACCAGACCAACGCACCCCCTTGAACCTTCCTACGAGAAATTCACTCCAAGCACCAAAAGAAGAACGAAGTAATATTGATAGATGGCTTTTTAAAGAAACTAGGGTCCAAAATTCCAAGAACCACAAGCACAAAGTAAGTTAATAGTAACTAAAAAGTGAATTCGGTACCGAAAAACGTTGGTTTTCGGAGATATGGCGATGAAAATAGAGGTATTGAGTTGGCCAGGAGGAACCACGTACGGAATCGCGTGCTTTACAGGCTTTCGACGCGCACTGTACTGAGATTTTTCTGAGTTTCCTTACGTTTCACATAGGTTAGTAATCAGGTACGTGGATTCTCTGAGATGGTCCAAGTGCATCAAACGACCACACACCAATTGCCACCATGACCAGTCCGTGGTATATTACAGTGCTCAGACAACTGTCCTGCTATCGACTCGGCAGCACTGGTAATGATAACATCGCTGCAGAATAGAGATACAACAAACGTAGACGAGCAGCTAAATAGACACAATGGTGAATGGAAAGTACGCGGAACTACTTAAGCTGTCTCGGATGGACGGCAGCTGTAGGTTGTCATTTCAGCTGTCGTATTGTGTCCGTCTTCGCTATACTAGGCCTGCGTACTCTACAACCTGTCCGCTATCTGAAGCATCCATTGTTATGTCGTCCCGTCGACAGTAAACTCCGCTGACGTTTCGAATTTTGATGGACTGCTCATCAGTTCGCATGACATAAAAAAGCGCGAATCAGATGCCTGATGCATTCCTCCTTTCGGAGTACGGTGCACGGATGCGCTAGGCGAAGGTGAAGGTATAAAAACCAATGTGAACGTAGAAATGGCGAGTAGGTAGAACGGCGCTGGAGGAGGTATGTGTGGAGCTCAAGGACCAATGGAGAGAGGGGAAAAAACCAAGCCATCACGTAATGACGATGAGGATTCAATCCAACGTAATCTCAACCAAATGGGTTACGTAGGTTTCTACAGATTCAATACCATGGCTGAGAAAGAAGAAGACCACATAGCTCCAATACACTAATGAACAAATTATCCAGGTTTGATTCCACCTGGATGATCCTTACCTCGGTTAAAAGAATGTAGAACGATACTGGTAGGCCAGGACAAGAGAACGTATATTCCAAGAGATCGCAATCATTTGTGGATTTTAGTGGCGAATAGCTAAGGCTGAACTTACTGAACAGACCAAAAGAGTAAATGGACTGCGAATCTGCAGATTTAAAAAAAATAAGTATGGTGACTCCACTATGAAAAAAGACGTAAATAACCGCTGCTACCTAAAGGCAACTTGCAGACGACCTCGGGACCTAAAAAAATGTTTTAGTCAGATCGGTCAACAGAGACTGCCAAATCATCAGTAATACAGCACTAGAACGGGTGTGCCAAGTACGTGGCACGTTTTCAACAACGGAATGCAGGCGAGGGGTAAGCGGGACGAGCAAATTGTCCTTCGGAATGTCGACTAATGGATCGTGTGGAGCACACCATGTGTCACAGAATCAACTTTTAGGCTTGTCTGCACGAATGAAAGAGAGGAAATGTGCAAGAGAGCATTCATAAGGGAAAGAACAAGAAGGAGACGAGCGTAGTGCATTTGATCAAGAAGGCCAGCAACACACTTCTAGAATTTGAGTAATGTTCCACCCCATTCGGGAAGCTAAAACTGTGCGTTTAAAAAATATTTTGTTTTTAAAAATTAAGCTAAATACCAAAAACATATGCTAATATATATCTACTAGAGCCATTTTATGATTTAATAAAGACACACAAATAACGACAGTGTCCTAATTTTAATCAAATAATTTCCAAAATGAATTTGCGTAGAAAAATAGTAAAAGTATTGTCGGGAGCAGATTAATTCTATTGGCCTAGCCCATATATGACAGATAAGCGTTTATTATTTGTGAGATTGCTGGTATTATTAGACCAGCTTATACTTGAATTTGCAGATTTCTGTAATTAATTTTCCAAAAAATATTATTGTGACATGACCACAACATATCTTAAATACATAAGTTACACAATACAATCTCATATCACCTTTTTTGACCGACAAGACAATTATTAAAATTACCCGTCGATTCCGTGATTCTATGATTTTCTCCCTCTATAGTTTATATTCATTACTCTAATTTGCTTAATTAACACTTTTTATTGAACATTCTTTATTTACTACATTTAGTAAAGCCTTGCAAGTGCAGTTGCTTTTTGAATAAACAAATTTGTATTGTTTTTTTTTTTAAATTTTATGCTCAAATATGCAGGAAACGTAAAATCTTTCGTTAAGGCTTCACCAAATTCTGAATTGAAACTGTATAAAATCGATTTCTCATCATATTTCTTTATCAGAACTTCACAGTTCTGTTTGAAATGAATGGAATGTTTTGTCTTCCGAGTTTGTTTGGCACCAATTTGATAAGTGGCTTTTGAACTAGGATCCTACACACATTAGATAGTGCATTAAATTAACCATAGTAAAATGAAATGTTTGCTGTCAATTTTTGCACTTACGATGAAAGAAAGTTAAGAGGAAGTTTCAACAACCTGAGTTTACAAATATATTTTGCAAGGTGAAGTGCTTGAATTGTTTACAGTTATACATGTTTTGTCACAGTGTGTGCATGAAATTTAAAAAGTGCCCAGCTCATTTGACACATACGTGAAGCTGCATATTTTAATTTCGATTGTATGAAAATTGACCGGCTACAAAATTCGTCATGAAAAGTACCAAAAACCACAGGATATTGCTGTTTTTATCTATACAATATACATTAAATAAGATATCGACATAATCAAAAAAGGACTTCTTCTTCGTGTACAGAAGTATACCGTATGCACCGTTCTTTCACAAAATTAAACAAGCATTTTTCAAACATTCATTGACGATTACTAGTGGAGCTTAATATTTGCGTTGATTTATTTTCAACCAGCCAGTCAAAATCAGTGCTTGATACAGCATTCTAGTAAATTCATTTTATGTCTCTATGTCAAATACAAGAGATTTTTCTCGTTCTGTTCAGTATTCAAACAAAACACTTCAGCGACAGGCTACAGTTGGTCTTATCCTCAAACGCTTACATGCTCTCCCTTTATACCTAATCGCCATCGTTTCATTATTATTGGTCAATAGAATTAAGTGCATTCTATTTCCGATTGCAAATACTTTCGTGGGTGCTAAATTTCATCACCTGACAGAGAACTGAATTTGCGTAACTACTAATATTATTTAACTAATATAGTAGATCGACTAGTCTTTAAGTCCAAGATTTCTTCAGACATGACAGCATTAAAAGTTCGATAGTAGCTGTTTTGAAAGTGTAGGACTAACAGTTTATGGTGGCCTGGGTTAATTTAAAGCAGTCTTCTAGCATGCTTTCCGATTTAGTCCTAAGAACAAGTCCCGTCAAAATTTTTTGAAATGCTCAAAATTCAAGATTTAAAGTGGCAGGCCCTGAGAATGTCAGAGCCAATGACAAATTCATAAGTAGATCAAGTTGCTGGCATCGGTGCGCATGGTTGTCCAGTCAATTAGAATTGCAGTTCACTAAACACCTTGGTTTCATTGCTTTCCTTCCGATCTGCTTCCAAATATTGTTTCTCAATGAAGATGATAGTTACGTTGCTGCTAGGACCGTTGACCTTGACGTTGCATCTCGTTGAATACAGATAGTAAACAAACTATTGTAGAGTACCCGAGCCCTAGTATGAAGAAAACTGGTACAACAGACAGGGCTTTAGTGACCAATTACAAGCTGGAACCACGCATCAGGCACCGTCCATCCGATTCCACTACACCGCCCATTATATACTGCTCCTCATTCGTATCTTTCTCTGGCTGGCTGCCAACCTTCCTCGCATGCCATTGGAACTCAACGAGACAGAGGATTGGCTGCGGCCTGTGAGGTCCAATATGTCTGCGCCCTAATACGTCGCTGCACTATGACCACGGTGAGCAGACTCGGAGGACGGTTCGCGATCCCTTAACTAGTCATTATTATTTACTTAAACCCTTCAAACACACTTGATCAGGAGTTACTTGTCAGCCGCACATTTTCACACATTTGCGAGTACCTCTATAGTCGGTTGAACTAAACTCAGCTGTTTGTCGTGTTGTGATTCGGCGAATGGCTTTTAGCCAAATGGGTTTAAGTCCACTGGTGAGCACCCAGGAACCCGAACGTCCGGATGTTTATGGTTGATGTCTTGGAGTTCTCCGGCTCGAACATGAATGTTCACACAGGTCCGTACTATGAGAATAACAAAGACAGCTGTTTGTTGTGTTGTGATCCGGCTGATGGCTTTAAGCCAATTGGGTTTAAGTCCACTGGTAAACAGACAGGGACTCGAATGACCAGGTGTTTATGGTGCTGGCCGATGTGTTGGAGTTCTCTGACGCGAACATGAATGTTCACACATGTCCGTAATATGAGAATAACAAAAACAATCCGGAGCGTTTGAGAACGTGGAAGTGTTATCCTAAGCAATCAATATTGAAACAATAAGATTTAACGGCAAATACTTAGCTGTTAAAGTACACAACAATTACAAATATTGTGTCACATGAGCAACACTCGATCAGTGAGCCGATTGTAAACGGCGCGCATTAAGAATCACAACTTAAACAACAAGCAAATCAAGCAAACTTTGAAA